GTGCCATTTAAAAATCAAAAGTTTTAGTAATTTCCGGTGAAACAGGAAATGACCGAAAACAACTGAAAATTGAAAACAACGTATAACATACAAAATCTCGTTTTTTTAACTTAAAAAATAAAAAAGTTTTAAGGGTGAACCATTTTGGAGACGCACCCGGTATATTATTGATGTTTCTTACTTATCTTTATGTCACATATACAAGGCGAGTCTTAAATAAGTGCAACTATTTTAAGGGTTTAATCTATATGTTTTTTTCGCAAAAAGAAGACGTTAAAAATCATGCAATTTTTTAAAACTTTCCTGTGTATTTTAGAAAACTTTTATAAGCGCCTGTTCATCGCAAATTTTTCTACGGTATACTTTCTTAATCTCCGATATTACCATGGTTACGACTTTACTCTATGGTTATGTCACTAAAATCCGATGGCTATCAATTTTTTTAGAATAAATATATATTTTTTTAATTTTCAAACTTGAATAACTCGGTTATTAGGACTCCTCTAATAAAGCTGATCCGAGGATAGATATAGAACAGAAAATGATAAGATAGATATAGATAGATATAGAACAGAAAATATCTGTTGTTTATCCAACATAAAGGTAGAGAGTTAAAAACTAGAATTAAACTATAACACACAATACTCTAAATTCAATATTAATACCGGGTGCGTCTCAAAAGTGGCTTACCCCTATAACTTTTTAATTTTTTCAGAATAAAGAACGATATTTAATACGTTAATATTTGACATAAGTTAGGATTGACTGTATTCAATTATTTTCGGTCACTTCCTGTTTCAGCGGAAATTAAAACTTTTGATTTTTAAATGACACCCTCGGTATTTTTTAACTTTATTCGGTAGAAAATTACACTCTGAATAGAATGAATATGTCAACTTTTGACATATTCAATGAAAAGAAAAATAGCATTTTATATTTTAATTTAGAGTGCGTAATTGTAAATTGAGATATGATTAAAAATACGATTTGGCCATCTTTTAACCGGCCAGGACAAGGCACGAAAAACATTAGACGATCAAATATATTTTCCAAAGCTTGTTGATTAAAAAATAGTGCTTTTAACACAGCCATCGCACTCTAGATAAGAAAGAAAGAAAGAAATTGCTTTATTGTCATAAAAAAATTTTACAATTTTGTTGACAAAGCTTAAAAAAAAAGAATATAAAAAACATACAAAACTTCACTTAACAATAGAAAAACATATAAAACTAACAGCAAACATACAAAACTAAAACAATACTTTATACAATTATAGAAATTGTACATTGTCAAAAAATTTATTTAATTAAATATAAATAAAATATAAACATACATGTAAATAAACAACTGTATATAATATCAATACTAAATTTAAATGGATAGAAAACAAAATCATTTCTTAAATTTAGTGAATGTGTGTTAAATTTAGAACCCTAGATATTAATAAAAAAAATCGTTAACCGCGTAAAAGGCTTTCTCCAGTAAGTATGATCTCAAGGCTCTGCGAAATGCAGGAAAGGATGAAATGGAATTAATTTCAGATGGCAGATGATAGTGCATTTTTTTTTGCATTGTACAATTGGGAACTCTTTACTAACTCAGAGTGAGGGGTTGGCAGATACATGTTATGCTCTGCGTTCCTAATTGGATAGCCATGAACTGGCTCTAGAGAAATACTCGATACGTGCTTGCGAACTAGGCAGACGGATTCGAGTATGAATAGGGAAGGAAGAGTTAATATTTTATATCTTCTAAACAAGTCCCGGCAGTGAGCACAACTGGTTAGCCTCAGTGAATATCGCACAGCTCTCTTTTGTAATTTGAAGATACGCTCAAATTGAGTCGCACAACACGCACCCCAGAATGGAAGTGCGTATCGGAGATGCGACTCATAAAGGGCATAATAGACTGTCCTAGATGTTGACAAATTAAGCACATTAGCAACTGATCTAAGTGCGAAACAGGCAGAACTTAATTTTTTAGCTAAAGCATCGATTGCAAATCCCATTTTAAATAGTTGTCCACAACAAGGCCTAAAAATTTCACAGAATCAACGACGTCAATGGTGGTATTATCAAGTTGAAAAGGTAGCAACGTACTTTTATATGATAAGACTTTAGTTTTAGAGACGTTGAGACACAGATAATTAGAATCGCACCATGTTTTTATGTTGATTAAGTCACTGGAAATGGTTCTATGAAGTGCCGTGGTGTCCGGGCTGCTCCATGTGAAACAAGTATCATCCGCGAAGAGACAGATTTTACCACTGATGTCCAGACTAGCAATATCGTTGATAAACAACAGAAACAAAATAGGACCTAGCACTGAGCCCTGAGGTACTCCGCATTCTATTGGCTTGCAGAAGACACAGTCTTATCAACCCTCACACGCTGGTTTCTGTTGTTAAGGTAGGACTTAAACCATTCAAGAGGCGTTCCCCTGATACCATAGTACTGCAATTTGTTAGTTAGGATGTTATGATTAACACAATCGAAAGCTTTCGAGAAATCACAGAAAATTGTTGCTGTAACGAGACGGTTGTTATACGACTGGAGTATACATTATTAAACAGCGAAAACATAGCGTCATTTGTACATTTGTTACTCAAGAACCCAAACTGAAAGGGGGTGAGTATTTTGTATTTTAGAAGAAATGATACAAGCCTCTTTTTAACCAGTCTCTCCATGATCTTCGATAACGTTCGATAGAAATTTAAAATACAATTTTTTTAAGCGGAAACGTCAAAAGTTGACATATGATATATCATTCTATTCAGAGTGTCATTTTCTATCGAATAAAATAAAAAAATACTAAGGGTGCCATTTAATAAATGGCCAAAAATACCGAGGGTGTTATTTAAAAATCAAAAGTTGTAGTCATTTCCGGTGAAACAGGAAGTGACCGAAAACAATTGAATACGTCAATCAATCCTAATTTATGTCATATACTAACATACCAAATCTCGTTTTTTTATTTGAAAAAATAAAAAAGTATAAGGGTGAGCCACTTTTGAGACGCACCCAGTATATTTGAACTATTATATTTAATTATATCTACCTTTTCCTATGTAAATACAGTAATCCCATGTTTTCAATAAATTCCTTCGCTTAATATCATAAACGAAGAAAATCTTTTGAAAGTATTACTGCCAATCCAATATTTTCCAACTTCTTAAAAAGTAAGTTTAGATGAAAGAACTTTGCAAGTGTATGTTTGAAACCATTTGATAACTTTTTAGTTTTCTTTAGCTTTAAGCTTTTAATATCAAAATTGGCAATACTCCTTATTTTTTAAATATCAGCTTAAGATGTTTTTTAAAAGTATATTATTTGACCTAAATATATAACCTGAGCCTTATACGGCATAATACGGTTCCTGAATTCCTTTTTGTAAGTTTGTTTACAAATGCCCACAGAGTTAATTGTAACTCAAACAAATTTTGCCCTGTTCATACTAATGGCGCAGTCTTACATACCAGAGCAGTGCTTTCATATCATGATTAATTTATTTTAGTAATTATTCACGAAAATATACGTATCTCTTTCTAATATTACATGTTTATAGAGATAAATTATGAATATGTATGTAAAAGTAAAAGTATCTTTGTAAAATGTTCTCATGAATAATGTCCTATTTTGTTATTTAAGACATACATGGAACTTGCAGACCAGAAGAGATAATAATAACTCCTAATTTAAATACTTTTTTCATTGTCAATTAAATCACATTTACACGAATGTAATCTGGTGTAATTTAACAGATCATGAGATACATTTTATTTACAACCACATACGTAATACTGACATTACCGACTTTTAAAAAGTGTCAAATTATCTACATTTCATCCCTCTTCCATTTCCCTCACTGGGTTTTTCTTATTTCTCGCCTCATTTAATTAAGCAAAATATTCTTGTAATATCTTTATTAAATACTTATCTAACATCAACAAAAAAAAATTCTTTGGCTTAAAACCTACATTCTGGCCTTTAAAAAAAGCGACGAGTTTGTGATATTTTGATATGTCAGTCTTTTCCCTTAATTCTAGCATTGTCCGTATCATGATGTACGTAGCCCAAAGAGTAGATGGCTTTTTCTGCCTTGCCATGGCGCTAAAATATGCCATCAAGACTGTCTCTGAAGCAATATTCTTAGCATTTCTTTTGGCACACCATTTTTCGTATACTTTCAATGCTATTTCATATCGCCCCCTACTTTTCTCTGGAAGTAAACTGGTTTCTGCTCTTTTTGCAGCTTCTGTAAGTTCTGGTGGAGTACCAATATTAAAGTAGTCTTCATTGTCAGAACTTTCCGACAACATTCTGGCTTTCTATGGTATATAATGTTATAACTGTATTTAAAAATATAAACTATCAAAAATGTCGATTACGATCTAAAATATAGACTTATCTTTTTTTCTTAATTTTGTTTATTTTAATTAATAACTGAATTATTTCCAGTGTTAAAAATACTAACTAAAACTGATGATATAACTATTGTGTATCTATCATTCATATTTAAATCGATTTGTCCTGTTTCTGACATTTTTTTTATGGTGAAAACTTACAGTAGAATAAGGGGTGCAGAAAATGCAATTAGTTTAAATTAATAGCTAAAGTTCTGGACATAAATTAAGCTGGTCCTGTCGAAAACGTACTGTTTAACGCTAAGTGTAATTATACTAAACTTATATTAAAAGGTTCATTGGTAATAATAGCTATAAGAGTTGATACACTGAATATAAGATATTCAATAAAAATTAAATTTTACAACTATACATAGTTGGGGTTGTAACCTTTCATCAACAAAATAAAATTGGAATGACCAAGTATTTATGAAATTTGTGTAAATATTTTAATCGAAAATATGTTAGGCACGTAGAAAATTAATAATAAGATATGGTAGAGCAGATAAAGCATATATGTTGCTCGACATATATTTCTGTTAAATATCAAATGTAAAAAAATACTTATTAGACAAAAAATATTATTATATTTTCTTACCTCACATGTATCAATAGGATTTTCTCCTTTTCTTAACCTATCAGCTACTTGTTTCGGTATCATTTGATACAGCAGCTCATCAGTTCTTTTCATCTCTTCGTCTAATTTTCTCATAGATTCTTCTAGTTTCTTGCTTTTTTGTTGTTCTTGATCCAGCGCCAACTTCAGCTCTACCGATTGTTGAGTACCAGCCAACATAAGATCACTGAAAGCATTAATTTAAAAAATAGTGTATGGAATAATTATTAATAAATGCTTTAAATTTATATGCAACTTTAAAATGTTAATTGTTGGCAATTTAAGAACATTTTCTGTGGCAGCCGGCGGCAAGCCTCTTTGGATCGACTCTTGGAGAATTCCTGGTCGTTTAGACAATTACACTTGAGGTAGTTTTTCAGAACTTAAGATCGAGAAATATCAAAGATTTTCCGTGATTTGAGTAAGAACAATCTTGATTGTCACGGTGTTTTTAACAGGACATTGTCTCTTCAATGAATGGTAGATTGAAGTTAAGAAACAACGACGAATTCAGATTCTTTGGGAAAATGGTGAAACACCAGAAAACCTCGTCACTGAGTGCGGTGAGACAAGAACCATTCATGCCATAAATCTTGGTGCAATTGATGTCGGCGATGGAGAACTAACCTCTGTAAAACCGTCACAGATACTGGTTTTAGTCAAAGCCCTGAACGGTATGATGAGTGAGTTATATCTCGACAACAACCGACACAATTGATCTACTAAGGGCTGGCAACGGTTAGTTTTGGGTAGAGATTTTCGTATGTAAGAAGAGTACAATGCGTTTATAACGTACTGAACAAAGAGAGAACAGTAAACATGTTGCCAAACGTATGAAATAAACCGAGAAACTGTGCACATTGCTAAGAGACGTGGAAGAAGATATAGCAGATTTTGTCGCAGTCGATCGGTTGACCCAATCAGTACCTCTGTCAGTACTTAAAGTTCTTGGAAAAGGTCTACATCATGCGTTCAGTTTCTCTATTTTAATTACGTCTCGCGATGCTTTCTTTGTTGGTGTGGTTGTAAGTTTCCCTATAGCTTGAAAAATTTTAAGTGCAAGTTAGGAACATTTGCATTTTTGGTAAAAATAAGTGGAATTGAGTTCGTGTTCAACAGTGGTCGCCCTATTAGAACTCTGAATTCAAAAATCGATATCTCGAAATCTATTAAAAATAATTGATTTTAGTTTTTTTCTAAAACTTTCTTAACATTCCTGCTATATTTTCTTCGCAGACAGTATGTGAAAATTTTTACAAATAAAAAAGTTACACGATTGCCGAAAATTGCTATGTACTAAAGAAAATGGATGGGTTGTTTAAAATTTTTGAATGGAAAAAAACAACCTTATCGAATTTTTCTTATTTAAACATATTGAAAAAGATCCGATCTTCAAAATAAAAAAAAAGTTTCAATGCCTAAAGTGGCACTTAAGTTATGGCGTGTTATGTGTTCAAAAGTTGAGTTTTTAAATTATCGCGATTTCTGATGTTTTATTGTTGTAAAAAAATGGATACTCTAACGATATCCTTATAATTCCATTTCAGATGCTCAGAAACATATCTAATGATTTTATCTAGTTATCTTTTTTTCGAAAAAAAAGTCGTTTAAAGATAAGCGATTTGCGATTTTGTACTTGATAGGGAAAGACGTACCGGCAACGCCGCATCAGCACACCGTCGCATTTCTCTCACTCCGACTTAATAAGATGCGACCCTATGCGATTTACTTCCACACATGCAAATGCCGACCCAAACGTAACAGTTGCCAGCACGGTAAAAGGCCGCCGTGATAAACTTAATCTTCCCATAAAATCTACAAGCCCAAAAACTGACGTTTATGTGATTTTTAAATTCTGAGTTATGCTATTATGGATTATTGATATAGAAATAATACATTTGCAAAAAACTTTATACAGACGAGTATACTAATAGATAAAATATATAAATTTTTATGTAAATAAGTATGTTAAATATATTTTTTGTCATACGCTCCCAAAAACAGCTATTTTACGGACTCATTTCAGTCCGTAAAATGTTTCTTTTTCGGCCTAGGCCGTAAAGGTCGTCATGGCAACCTTTATGGACTAAAATGTCTAAATTCGTTATTTGGTTGTTTTATTTTGTCATTCGAAATTTGTCACAAAATCACATAAAATTATACATATATTTATAATTAAATTATTAAATACTAACAATATCAAAAGCTAAGTTATTTGTTTAAAGTAAGTACCTAGGTACCTATTTAAAAGAGGCTTTTAAATTAAAATATTCTTAAATTACAGTCACAAACAAGACATAATCATGTGGTACATTTTTTGGCCTAAGACAAGCATATTTTCTATACAACTCAACTGGATTGACAACGTTCCCTCTGTTCACCACCGGAAACACTCTTTTTGATATTAGTTTTTGTATCCGCAAGGGTAACTAAAAGGCAGCTGTTGTCTTTTTCTATGATGTCTTGCACTCGTAGAGAGTACAATTCTTCTCTTCTACATGCTCCACAAAGGCCAATGACAAGAGCTACCTAAAAATCAAATACAATGGAATAAGAAACCATCTATATATTTTAAAAATCATTATCGCAAACTTACCTTAGTAAGTAAATAAGTTTCATCACTAGCCGTGGCCAAAAAATCACCGATCTCTTTTATGGACAAAACCTTAGACTTTTTAGGCTCGTAACCAACCGAATTCCTCTTCAAAAAAGCAATAAGTTTTGGAAATTTGTCAATATAAATATCTTCTTTAACACTTAACACTGCTCTCAGCATGGAATATTTCGACCAAATTGACGATGGTTTGAATGTTTGTGACTGTAATTTAAGAATATTTTAATTTAAAAGCCTCTTTAAATAGGTACCTAGGTACTTACTTTTCGTGGAAATAATTTAGCAATACATCTTCATTTACAACGAATACGCCATTTTTGTCTTTCCATTCATTAAAAACATCATATTCTTTCTGGTAAATGGCACGAGACTTCACAGGAAGTAAATCCAACACGATTTCTTTGGCCTTATTAGCAATATGTTCGGGATTTTGGAACATTTTAAAATTGTTGATGAATTTGTGTGATTTTGTGACAAATTTCGAATGACATGTCAAAATGCGATGAAATAAACAAACTCGTTACTAAGATATGAATTTATAAGCCAACTTTTTCAAACATTATAATTTCAAATATGGAAAATTTGCAAATATGCGTTCTAAAAAACTGTAAAAAGCGTATGACAAAAAATAGTGTATGTAACACGTACCTAAATTATGTTTTTTAGGACTCATCTACTATTTCGGACTCGGCTAACGCCTCGTCCGCAAACAGTAATGATTCGTCCTAAAAAACATCATTTTAGGTACTAGTTACATAAATAGCTATTTTAACACACTATAATAGTACTGCAAATATTCGTAATAGCCGGTTTATTGTTTTTGAAAAGTTTACTTAACTGAAACAAACTCTAATGGAATAACGTAACGATTTCAAATAAATATCCAGTGCACCAGCATTATTTTCCAGTTTGCGAAATAAGAGAAATACAAAGTTAATTAAAAACAAAACAACGAATGGGACGGAAAGTATGTTTAGGAAATTTTCGCAAACCTTTGTGGATAAATTTATTTTTGAAACTTTTTTATAAAAATAAAACTAATAGTTCAAAGTCTTTTAGGGAATATTTTTAGTGGCGATCATGTTTTTAATCAACGACATCGTATTTTGATAAAGATTTTTCGTCATTTGACCAAAATTACCAAGTTTTGGAAAGCGAGGAAAATATTTAAATAAATAAATAAAACACTCTTACGTACCGGCTGAAGTCGTGCATAGATAAGTCGTTGATGTATAGTCCGGAATTTATAAGCGAATTGAGATCTGGCATCACTGGCGTGCCCAAGTACATCATCATCTTCCAGTTGTCCATGTAAATCATCTGACCTGTAAAACAAAAATATTTTTTCAATTTGGATATATACAGGGTGCTACAAATTCGAGGTACGAGCATTGGTATCTAGGTAACCGTAATAGATACGAACATGGTTAAATTGGGGCAAAGTTGCTCTGTGGGATGTTCACCAAGGAATAAACGGATTTTTTTGAGAATCAATTTTATTTTTTCTTGTAGTTACTTTTTATAAAATCAAACAACTAAATGCTAGTTCTCATAGACACTTACTACAACCATTTCGAACATGTAGAGAATTAGAACCTTGTTTGTAGAAGTTGATATATTTACAATAACTACTTTATTTTAATTAAGATTAATAGATAATAATTTTAATTAAGAATATTAGATAATATTATGCATATTATTAGACCGTACATTAAGAGTTCATATTCACAAAAAAAGTTAAAAATAATATCTTTTAAACTGATGACCTGAAATCCTTCAATTGGCTCGATTTTCCTTATTCAATGTTAATTAATCATCAATATTATTGCGATGAATATAATCAGGTTAAATAATTTCAAAATTCAAAGTCGGACTTGAAGTTATTTTAAATAATAAATATACAGTTTTGTTGTTGTTAAAGTATCCAAAACAAAGATAAATATAAAATGTGGCATATCGTTGTACTCGGGACTGAATTCTTTCAAAAGGTCAAATAAAAATGCAGGTCCATATTTAAAAAAATTAAGTTGGACTATATATCTCACAAATCATCAGCTAATTTGAAAATAGAAAAATACTTTCAGATAGCCCTGATATAGTGGCCATGAGAATGTGCAATTAGTTTTTTGATTTTCTAAAATGTAATGATAGGAAAAAATAAAATTTATTTTCAAAAAAATCTATTATAATATCTATGTCAATTTATTGTTTACAAACCTAGTTAGATCTTTAGTTTTGTTACGAACATGTCTTGTAATAGTATTACTTTCTATAGATATTATTCCGCTATTTTAACAGATGAATAACCAAACATAGATTCTAGAATATACGGGTTGCAACATCTCAGATTTAACATAGTATGAAATATAATAAATTAAATAAAGTAATGCTACCTTTAATATATTTTCTATAACTTTACATATATTGTATTTTATCATAGTCGTTTTCAGAGAACATATTTAGTACTATTTTTAACATACCTTTCTTCGACTTATAACCACTATATTTGCTAGAATTCTACAATGTTATTTAGTATCAAAGAACATCATGAATAAATATAGTCATTAGTTTTAAGTATTATACAACTGTGTTTTCTTTCTCTGTACATGCCTGGCGCGCAATATCTATATATTTTGTTTATTGTTATTAATTAATTTTCTTTACAGTAAAATACCTTATCCACGACTGCTCTCCGATGAAAAGCTGCCGTTCGCAGTGGTAGTGGTTTAAAAAACGCTATAATACCATTTTATCGTCTTGTATAAAAAATAACTATTTGTACTATCGGTTTCATATTATTTATTGGCAGTAACTCTAGTAGAGATGGTTTAAGTTCAGTAGTTGATCTCTACCATGTTCAGTTAAAGCAGCAATACCAGATACAACTACAACAATAAAATTTCGTTATTCTATCACTTTCTGTTTACTTCATAAATTTATTCGCATTTGTTTTTAAATACCCTGTATATTACAGAGATGCGTGGGGGATAATACGGAAGAACCCATCTCATTATTTGGGTAAAATCTAAACGTCAATCCAGCCATCCCTGAGAAATACAAGGAAAAAAAGGTTAAATTTGTTTCCGCTTGATGCTTTCATCCCTTTTGGCAGGAAAACGGATATCCAGTAATATTTCCCTTGATTGTTTTCATATCCTTGAGTGTCGATAAAGTTTTCGATATAAAGTGAATGTGGAAAAGAAAAAGATTCGTAAATATATTGTAGTGTAACAACCCAAATTCGTCAACAAAGTTGAAGAGGTAATATTTTTGGCCAACTGTATAACAAGAAATTTATATGAAAGAAAGGAACCTACGTTGTGTTAAATATTTTTTTATTATGATTACCTCGGATGCGCCTCGACAAAGCAATATTTTGGGAAATTTGAGGAGAATAGGTTATGTAAATAAAACGCTAAATTTGTAAATAGCCCTACTTATTTTATTAAATGAAATGAAAGGAGTGCCGTACTCTGCCTGGAATTCACATGTAAAAGAGCACGGCAGAGAAAACCATGATCACTATTCCAGAGAATCTAACTATGCTGTCCTGAACTTTCATAAAAGAGAAATAATACTATAGAAACTGTCCTCATACCTAGGTTTATAGTTTAATACATTCAAAACATGCCACATTTATATCGTTCAAAACTGAAGAGGTTTTGTTAGTTTAACGGGTCCCCACCCGTAGGTACGAAGTCCCTTGTTGCGGAATCGACGCTAAAGTTGAAGGTTTGGCGCCAATATCTTATAATTTAATAAATTGTAAGTTATTCTATGAATTATTTTATTTATTGTTTTTGTTTGCCCTTTTGCGAGCTAAGATATTCGCCCATGCAAGGTCGAAAATTGTTAGTACACTCAACAAGGCTCTTATTCTCAAAAACCACAAACATCGGCACGAAGGAACAGTAAACGGTTTTATTTAGATTACTTTTAAACTGAAATTATTTACAGCATAAATAGATTCCATTAAATGCATACACATGTTATATATTGTCTTTGTCAGATCAAATAAATAAGGAAAAGCTTTAGAACAGAATTACAACAAGAAAACAAAATAATATGATTTAGTTAACATTAGTTAAATAATGAGAAAACATTTACTTTACCTTTAATAACATTCTTTGTCACAAAACTTACGAACCAAAATAATATCAATGCGTCTCGAATGGTAGTCTAAAAGCTATTATCCAACAAATATCACATATGTTCGTCGCCTGATTTCCCTCTCCCGAGTTTGTGAATAATATTTTAAAAATCAATAATTTTGTTTATGTATACAGAGTGTCTTAAAAATGAATGTGTTGAATTTAAATAAATATGTCTATTTTTAAATAGGCGGTTCATCTCAGACGCCCCTTTGAAAGATTTTCGAAAGACTAATGCCAGGGAGAGAGAAAGTCTTTCATCATCCCAATTATACATGAGTTATTGTATTATGTGTGTATAAGTGCTGGATAGTCAATATATAAATATTTCGTATGACAGCAAAGGATACTATTGGCCATTGACAATATACTAAAATATACATACAACCACATACAAATTGTCAAACATCAAGTCCAAACAGATAGAACAATACAATGTAAAAATAAAAAAATAATTGTATAGAATAAATAATTAAATATTTGACTAATATATACTTGACTAATTGAATATTTGACTAGCATTTTTTTTCCCAAGTATAGATTCTATTAGAACCTTCACATTTTAGTTTTAAAACAGATGTCATTTTATTTATTTATTTTTTTAGTTTTAATTTAAATAAGTAATAGTTAAATGTAACTAGTTTCTAAAATAAAAGTAGTTTTTAAATAAAAGGTGACTTTGACATTCAATAAGTTAGTTTACGTTTACTTATGATGGTTATGATCTTATATACACATACACACAGCCTCCTACAACTGAAGTTGAGATATAAAACTGAAGTACAGTTTGAAAAGTGGAAACAACAAAGTGGATTTAAGAGGAAAGTCTTGTCTTGATAACATCTTTTGTATAAACGGCATACGACAGTTTACCAGTAAACAAATTACCTATAGGCCAGCCTTTGGATAATAGAATTGGACTATATGAATTATATCAATGTAGTAAACAAAAATTACAAAGAAAATATAGAGTGTAGTATTAAATCCATACAAAGACATAAGAAATTCCAAATAAAGGTACACCTACATATTAACACTAGTTGAGAGTTTCGTGGCATACGACTCAGATATATACATCTTATAAAGAATAGAAATACCTAAAGTACAAATAAATTCCGTCCACTAGATGATCACGGCCTATATGAAAAGAACGTCAATTAACCTTTAATGATTATATTTAACACAGATCGAACCAAACCAAACTATAGGTGTACAGATAAGTATCGCTGATATACCAGAAGCAAAACAATTAGTATGTTTCGGCCATATGAAATGAATATCAATCGAAAGACTTGTGACATAATACAAGAGAAAACGAGAAATGGTAGAATAAAGATATCCTTAGACAAATGTTATCATTAAAAAAATATTAAAGAATGATCATGTCAAAATAGAAGAATATGGCTACCTAATAATGACAAACGACTATCAATGCTGTAGAGAGCCCACATGCATATGCATATAGATCTCCTATCCGCCCCTAAACTGTCACTCCCTAGAATATTCCTCAGTGCCAACAGAGGACGTCGATGTTGGTACCATGTCCGAGCTCGTGGAACCAACAACTCGAGTGTCACAATGCAGTACCTCGTTTCATTTTTGATACGACTTTCCAGGAAATACAACATGCCTAATTTTACATTAAATTGTTATTGTTTTTTTTTAAAATGAATTATTATTTTATAGAGCCCAAATATCAATGCTTTATTACTCAATAAAATATTTTGAATTTATGTGAAAATATTGCAATTTTTTTTAAATAATAATAAAATTTTATTAAAAAAATCATACGAGACCCCGCCCTGCGACCCTCGAACTGTAGCTTCAAAAACGAATAACGTTGGTGATCCAGGGCTGCTGGTTGAGGCACAACAGAGCATCGGTGGATGTTCTTCGTATCGTTGGATACTGAGGGCGCGCCGTTGGATACTGAGGGCGCGCCGAAGGTGACAGTGTGATCCGGTTCGAACACTGCATTCCTACGAAAGTCATCCGCATCCAAACCGCTAGACAGGACATATCCGCATATTCTGTAACATGATTACACAGCAGCAGTAACTAGTCCAAGACATTTTTTTTTATCCTCTTTTTTTAACAAATATAACATGTGCATGTCTCAACAATTTTTTTTTTATAGTGTTTTACTCTTTTGAAATAAAGATCATCAATGAGAT